GTATGCACCAGGGTAGGGCAACCCATGTCATTATGTTGTGGCACTGTCTGTTGGGGAGAGTTCCGAGAGGGAACAATGATGCTTCCTCACTGCATTCTAGCCCCACTTTCCATCACTTTTCTTGCTTCCCACAAGCAGATTTTGCCCTTTCAGGTGCTGATTCCCAGGTGGTTGCATGTGTGTACATTCTAGGATCCCGTGGGCCTCTCCAACAGACTCTCCTGTGAGAATGGGAGTTTTTCCTGCCTTTACAACCTCCACAGAATTTTACAGCCAGAGGTTTTGAGTCTTTATTTTCCCAGTTAGCCAACCCATGCTGCCCACTAACTTGCCTTGAAGGCTGCCCATCTCTGCCTCTCCTATGAGTCTGGACAAATGTTTCTTTAACTCCTGGCTGTCGGAGTTCCATGCAGTTTGATTTTCTGGCAGTTCTGGTTGTTTTTTAAAGTAGTTGTTATCCTTCTTTTGATTGTGTGAGGAACGGAAGTTTTCTATCTACACTTCCATCTTGGATGGAACTCCAACAATGACTAGACATTTTCTGGATAGACCTTGTAGGTTTCTGTTATTTATAAGACCCCAGTCTGTGGTGTTTTATTATAGCAGCTGGAAAAGACTTAAGAGTCTAATGTGAGGCACTAGGCACAATTATTGTAGAAAGTGGCAGAAAAAAAAAACTTAAAAGAAGATGGGCACCTCAAGTGCCTCTTCTCAGAAGGGAGAAGAAAAATGCTAGCTTGCTTTTGTGTAAGTTGCAAATATCTATGTCATTCATTGACTCAGAGTGAATGAGCCTCACAAGTATTTGAATGCCACGCATGAAGCCCTCACTCACACGGCCCATCTGTTGCATCCCTGTGGTGGGTGCTATTAGGAAGTCCTCACCTTAGTGTGTGGCAGGGGAGTTTGAAAAGAGTTCATTACTCACAGTCAGGCTGCTACTGACCTGCAGGTTCCAGGCACTTAGCCAATAACCTGTGGTTCTAAAATTCTGGAGGGAAGGCAGACATACCCACCCTGCTATACTCTGGTATGGGTGCTATGCACCCATCCATCACCTGCTGTATCATCCCACAGTCTGCATAAGCAACCCCACCTCTTCCAGCCTCACTTACCACCTACTACAGCACAAGAAACCTTCTCTTTAAGCCACCGCAGCACCATCAGGCCAATCATCTCCTACCTCCTCAGCATCAAGGGGGCTGCTCCCTTCCCTAACCCTACATGTTAAATATCCAGAACACCCTTCTCCTATCTACCTACCCTCCACTCACATTTCCTGCTCATGGAATGACAAAACTAACTTCCATTAAGTGAATTTCCTGTGCTGAGTACTGCTCTGAATCCTTTGCATATCCATATAACCCTCACAACTTATGGGTTATGAGTTATCATCTCCTTCCCACATTTTCCAGATAAAAAAACTGAGGCACACTGCACTTAAATGACATTCACAACTCTTCAACTGAAAGGGTTAGGCTTGGCTCCAATGGTCTGGTTTTAACTAGTTCCTCTATAACCCTCAGCATCAGAACTGCTTGCTTTCTATTACAAAGGTGCCTAGATTTCATGATTTTTTTGGTCATCTGGCCCCTTATTGTTATTTATGTAATATATTGGGGGGTGGTTTATTTTTATGCAAATTTATTTAAAAAATAAACCAAAGCCTCTGAACCTGAGGCTAACCCTACTCAAAAGGGAATTTAGGAAGTGTTAAAAGCCTACTCACTGCAGTTACATCCAACCTTTCTTGTAATTAGGTTGAAGAATTGGAGAGAAGTGAGACTGAGGATGAAGTAACCTTTTCTTTCACAAGTGAGTGTTTGGTTTTATACCCAGAACTACCTCCTCCAAAGTATGTCTCCCTAGGCATGTCTGGTCAAATGCTATATCCCAAGAGTTTCTCTTCTACTATGACAGCCTAGTATGTTGTTGGCTTCTAGATTAATCTTGTGGTATGGAAGTAATAGTCAGACTTCAGAAAATCTCTGTCCTCCTCCAAAATTAATACCTAATTTTCCACTTGGCATAATTCCCCTTAGACCCTAACAGTTGGCCTTCAACCAGAGTCTTGTCTCCTGAAGAGAAGTTCTTTTCTTTCCAGAAGCAAAGCCCAGCTCATACCACTGATACAAGGGCACCCATGTACAAAGAGCTCCAGAGAAGCCTTCAGACTGGCAGTCTGGACAGGAGACAGTGGACTCTAATCTGGAGCCCATCCCTGAAAATTCCTGGTTTCCTAACAAGACATTCATCTACTGCTTGGCAGGCTTGTTTACCTCCCAGGGAAGCCACAAAAGTAATGGTCTTTCCCTGGCAGTATATGGGAGAAGATATAGGTTTTAACTCTATAAATACATGCACTTTTCCTTGTGGTTAAGGAAAAAATGCAACAGGATATTGTTCAGTTCCTTCCTCGGGTTTACATGCCCCCATGTGATTTGGTGAGTCTCTCTACACTGCTTCATGCAAGTCCCTTGGGCTACAACAGCAATGACAAAACAGAGCAAGTGTGTTCACACAGATAGTTTCAAACAAGACACAAGTAAAGATGGCTGTTTCTCAGGCTTTAAGGTGAATCCACAAAGCCTTCCAAGTTAACACCCAGAGGAAAGTAAGAAGGGACAGTTTGCTCTGCCAACACAGCCACACAGAGGGGAATCCAGATGGCACAAACACTTGGTGTGACTGCCTCAGGCTCAAGTTGTTTTCCTGGACTTTCAGTCACAGCTTGAAGAAACACAAAACTGCCTCTGAGCCTGTCATCAAATTAGTGTTAACATCAAGTTAGTGTTTATCTGTATAGGCTGTGAGGTTGGCGGGAAAAGGGTCCACACAGAAGCTGAAAAGGCCATGATGGACTATGAATGTTGAGGGTGTTGACAAAAACAGGAGAGAACAAGTAAGGCAGTACCCACTAAAAGGTGCAGCAGATCCAAAAGTCAACCTGAGTAATTTTATCATTTTTGGTGATAAATACCAAGTTTAACCGATATGCAAGAAACTAGGTGTGCCCAGTGGCTCCTTTAGTCATCAAAATGGCAAGGGAAGAACTGCTGTTCTCAGGCCCCTGGACCTGGATCTACTCCTCTGAACATTCCTACTTCATTCTTTCACTCCCATCACCCTAGCCACGTGCACCTTCTCTCTGTTCCTGGGGTTCCTATGCTTATTTCCCCTCAGGGTTCTGAGTTGGCCTGAGAAGTTCTTCCCCCATTCTTCTCATGGCTGCGTCTCCTAAGCAATAGGACCTCGGCTTAAATGTCACCTCCTAGCCCTGGCTGCTGTAGCTCAGTGGATTGAGCGCAGGCCTGAGAACCAAAGTATCACAGTTCGATTCCCAGTCAGGGCACATGCCTGGGTTGCAGGCCAGTTGCCAGCATGGGACACACGAGAGGCAACCATACATTGATATTTCTCTCCTTCCCTTCCCCTCTAAAGATAAATAAAAAAATATATTAAAAAAATATGTCACCTTCTCAGAGACACCCAGCCACACTGCTATGTATTTGGGGCTTGTTTAATACAGTGGCACACAATAAAACTTGTTAAATGATTACACAAGAAAAGCTATAAGCCACCCACCGGAAGCATAATCATGATCATGACTCCTTGATGGGGCTTGATGGGGAGTGGGAGTGGTGATAAAGGACATACAACTAAGGTTCATAGTGGGTGTGAGATAGTACTGTGAAGGGCACTGGAGGCTTTAGCAAAGGGAGTTTTACCCCTAGGGAAAGAAGACTCAATGCTCTGCTGTGACCGGCCACAGAGACCCCAAACAAGGCCATTCCCCACAAGAGACAGCACTTGTAGGAGGCCAATTACTATTCCTGGATGCTGGGTTTGTTCAAATCCTCTTACATACACATAATATCCAGAAAGGTGCATGGCACTTAGAATATGTGAAGAATTTAAGTGTAGGAGATTGGTTTGTCTTGGCCTGCCAAATGTGACTCAGCTCTGTATGGAAAACCTACAGATGCAAGGTGGTGGGCAGGAGCCAGATCTTCAAACCAACTTTTCCTATGGGAATTGGGCCTAGAAAATGCATACAGATTGTTATGGCTTGCTCTTGATAAAACTCCATCACCCTGGTCTAAAACAACAAATGTGTATTATCTATCCTCGAGGTAATTTCCAAAGCCTGTATGAGTTCTCCCAAGGACAGAGCTAATGAGCTCATTGCCATTCCCCTTTGCATGTTATTTTTATTTCCTTGATTGTACCTAGAATGTAGACAATAATGTTCTATGTGATAGATAATAAATCTTTCTATGATGTAAGACCCCAGGAAAATAATAAAAGCCTGTCTAGGCAAAGGTTGGGGTGCTCCCCTCTTGAGGGAGTGGCCAAGACACCCATAGGCGCTCTCCCCTTGAGAGAGCAGCCATGCCTGTTCCCTTTTCCACACAGGATTGTTGTCACCTGTGCATTGATTCTCATCATCAGCCACAACAGGCAGACTCTGCTGGACAGGGTCTGCTACATTTAAGTAATCAAAGAATACAAATGTCAGGTGTACCCCTCTGTAAAAGACTTGATTTTATTTTTAGTCTCACTTTTACAAGTGTACTATGAGTAAGAGGCTGAGCAGGTTGATCTTACAATAATTATGCCAGCATCTATTTTATCCAGCTTGCATTCATGCTTACTTTTCCTGGGATGAAAGAACATTTCCAAAGCTGAAACATACTCCTTGGTATTTAGACAACCGCTGCCCAGGACCAAACACACACTGATGGGTCTGCGCCCATAGATTCCCTATACCTTGAACATTCATTATAATTGTTCTCAAAGAGTCAACTCCTTCTACGGGAATCTGAAGACACCAAGTATTGCCAAGTGAACAGGAAAGCCAGGCCTCTTCCAAGTTGGGCAATCCTGCTCCTGGAACACAGTCCAGCAGAGGTGTAGTGCCAGCATCTACAACAGAGACATAAAGGCCCAGGAGACCCTGTGGGGCACTGAGATGCCCGACATCAGGGGACACACAGTACCTGTAGGTGATCCTCACTTCAGTTCCAGGCTCATCTCGCTCCCAGATCAAAGCAATGCTCTCCGGGGATTTCTGAACATGCTGATCCAAGCAGTTGACTGCACAAAAACACATTGACAAACATTAAACTTGGAGCTCTTGGAGTCAGAATCAGGGGAAGGTCTGGTGTGCTGTGACTTGCACTACTCTCTGATGAAGTGGATACTTCCATTTCCCTCATCAAAGGTGAGACTTCTACTTCCTTGCAAGGAGAAGGGTGACTGTCAAAGCCTGTGAAAATAAGATAATAACTACACAAATGCAATCTCATAGGTATAGGGTGATCCCCTATGAATGGAATAAAACAGACACTTCACACCAGCAGTCCCAATCCCAGACACACATTGGTGTTGTCTGGGTCACCCCGAGAAACCCTGACCCAAATGACCCTGTAATTTTCAAGGCTTCTGGGTGGTTCTATTGTGTAGCTGGGGCTGGGCACCATAGCCTGAGACATTGGAAAGAATATATATATATATATATATATATATATATATATATATATATATTTTTTTTTTTTAATTCTCACCTGAGTATATATTTATTGTTTTAGAGGGGGGAGAGAGAGAGAGAGAGAGAGAAACATTGATGTGAGAGAGAAACATTGATTGGTTGCTGCAGTACACTCCCCAACTGGGGACCAAACCCACAACCTAGGTATGTGACTTGACTAGAGATTGAACCCGCAACCTTTTGGTGTACTGGATGATACTCCAACCAAATGAACCACCCGGGCAGGGCTGGAAAAAATATTTAATGCAAATAGGATGCCTCTGATCCAGTACAACATTTATGCAAGGGGTTCTCGAAAGTGGCAGAGATGCATGCTGTCTAGGTCAAAGAGCCACATCCCTTCTCAGGTGTCCAGCCAACACCCTAAAACCAGCCTCTTTTCCAAGGAGTGTTGCAACAATGGGGAAACACAATGGTGATTTTCCAGAAGACTCTGCTTCCCTCCCCCTCCATTATCTAAGCATTGATCACATGACCGCCTGTAAAAAAAACAAGTAAATTCTGTCAATTTACTGTAAATGTGAAGATTAGTAGGATCTTGTTCATTTGCTGACATCCTGTTCAAAGTGAGCTTAGCTGTGGCTGTCAATGCCGAAATGCCGACCTCCAAAGCCAGGCTTTCTTTGCTCACCTTTCCATCAACAGGGAAAACGATCACCACAAATATCTGTTAGGGGCAGCAGCTATCTGTCCATCTGGTCTCCAGTGTCACCCCAATGCCCAATGTCCAGGTATATAAATGTTTTTTTTTTCTTTTCAAGGCACTTACTTATCTTCTTCAAATCAATCTCCTCCTAGGTAAATGGGAGCTGCATTATCTATCATTTCTAACTCACAAGGCTACGGCCAGAAACAAGTGAAATACTAAATGTTAAAGTGCTGTTATATAAACACAAGGTATTATTACCAACTGATAAATACCATGCTATCAGTTAGAGACTTTTTTTTAAGATTTCATTTATTTATTTTTAGACAGAGGAAGGGAGGGAGAAAGAGAGAGAAACATCAATGTGTGGTTGCCTCTCTCAAGCCTCCTACTGGGGGACCTGACCCAAGACCCAGGCATGTGCTGACTAGGAATCAACCCTCAACCCTTTGGTTTGCAGGCCAGCACTCAGTCCACTGAGCCACACCAGCCACATGAGTTAGAGACTTTTAAATAGGATATAACCATTCTGACAAAATTTATGGGAGATACCAAAAGATCATGAGAACTCACATGAAAATATTTACATACTTTAGCTAATATGTGTGTGTGTGTGTGTGTGTGTGTGTGTGTGTGAATTATACTTTCCCCTCTTGGGTTATGTTATTTATTATTTATGCTTATAATAAAATTTTCATTTCAATTTTCTGACTCTTAACAAGCATACAAATTATATGGCAAAAATATGTAATAAAGATAAGTGTCATGAAAAAAGTTACTCTTTATTGACTTAAAAAGTTCTTTGATTTATTAAACAAACAGATGAGAAGAAATACCCAAAAACAGAGGAGAGGAAAAGAAAGAAGAGAAACTGAGAAGGTGCTTGGTGGCAGAACCTAGATTTATATAATAAACCCAAAATCAATGTGTATGTTTGTGTGTGTCTCAATATGTCCCAAAGTTGAGATATCAAGTTTTCACACTAAAAGTGGGGATTTCTGACTTATCTTGAACAAGCAGCAGATGAGGATACACCCTACCCTGGGAGCTGAGGTGGTAGTCACACCTCAGCCAGTCCTGTCCCCCCTCCAACTGCCTGGCCCCGGAGGAACTGATTGATGGAACAGGAAGCAGTAACCCTAAGTAGGTCATGACAAGCCTTGGAGTGCCCAGCTCCTTGATACTGAGGACAGATACTAAGAAAGGGATGGAGGAGAGAAACAGAGTGAGTTAAAGCTTTGCCCTGAGCAGAAAAGTGTTGCTTCCATGTGTATGTGAGTAATGCCTGGCTGCTCCAGGCATTACTGGGGAACAGACACAAACCTTTGGTGCCACCCCAGAGTAGCCTTGAGAAAATTCCAGATGATAGGTGTGCACACTCTTATCTGAGAAGCCTGCTCCAAAACACCTTATTCCACCTTGAGTTGAACCTTCTGAGTCACCTTGGAAAAAAGGCTGGCTCAGACATAGCTTAGGAAACAATCTATAGGTGGTCCAGTGACCTGCCCAAGGGCTAGCCAAGAAGCAACAGAAATGGCCTCAAAGTAAAGGGGCTAAAGCAAGGGGCCCCAGCAGGGGCTCATTTACCCACATTGCCTGCTCCCATGGCAGCTAGGGTGCCCACACATGACTGCCCAATTTCAAACCTAGATCCTCAGTGGCCCAGAGCCCAGCAGGGCATTCTGTGCATGGTTTACACCAAACAGAAGGGCAGAGGTGCTGAAGGTGGAGGGGAAAGACCTGCCCCAGGATGGATAGCACCCAGAATGTGGCTGGGTGAAGAGCAAGACAGTCCTATGTCCATCTCTTCCTGTGGCTGACAATTGGCAGGAATTCAGGCAGGTTAGCACTGAGGCCCAGGTACAGTATTCCTAAGCGTCTTCCTTGCATAGGGAGGTGCTGAACAAATGACTACTAAGGCCTTGAGTGATCTACCTCTCCCTATTGGCAGTGCAAATTTTGTTGAGCACTTCCTGTTTGCATGGTTTCTTCCTGCCTGGGGCACACTGTACCACTCTCCCCACTGCTGTTCTCACCTGGTGCTCAGCCTTCTGTAGGTCCCAACCTATACATTCTCACTCTCTCAGTGACCACTTTGCATCCCTTTGATCTTTAACTCATTCACCTGTGATGTTTGCACTTACTGTCACTCTGTGGGCAGGGGCCGGATATCCCGTTCATGTTTGTATACATGTGGCCTAATACAAAGCAGAAAGCAGAGAAGCATCACAGCTCTGGATGATGGGCAGCCCATTCAAGTCCTTAAGCTAAAGGGCAACAGTAGAATCTGAAGGGCACTAGGTTGGCGCCATGTCCCAGGGAAGGAACAAACCTCTTCCTGTCTTCATGGCTTTGTTCCTCAAGGAGTGCTCTTGTTGGTCTAAGTCAGCACTTCTAAACTTCCCAGAACTCCTACAGGGCTTCTTACCACACAGACTGTGAGCCCCACCACCACCAGAAGTCTGAATGAGCAGGTCTGGGTGGGCCTGAGCATTTCACTTCTGACAGATCCCAGTGATGCCATTGCTGCTGGTCCAGGACCATGCTCCCACAGACAGGCATGCATGCACATATCTAAACACATTCTACTTTATACATATATTCCAGATTCCAGGGGGGCTTTCTTTCCCCTATGGGGACAGAAGTTATCAAAAACACTTGCCAGATCTGTAAGACATTTGACCATACCCTCACAAGATGGCAGCCCAAGTCACAGGTCAAATCCATCCTCCAGAGTCCAGCCATGTCCAAACACTCACTAAGCAGAAACAACACTCTTGTTATTTAATCTAAATTTAATTTTTCTAATCTGAAGTTGGGATAACAGTTTCTAGCTCTGGGAGTGACAGCAGGAATTAGATGCCATTGGAGAGCTTCCCGGCACAGGGTCAGATTTTGTGGCTATGTTCCCAAAGGAAGCACAGTTCACAGCTACTATGGTTGACACTCAGATGACATGGACACTTAGAGAAAGCACTGTGTGGGATTTGGGTTACAGTGGCTCCAAAACACTATGTATATGTTGGCTTTTAACACATACATACATATGTATGGGTCCTGCTATTGCCTCAACTGCAGGGAGAAAAAGAAAGAAGGGAAAGAGCAAGGATAAAAGGAAGAAATTTTTATTTCTCCACATTTTAAAAAAATTTAAAATGAGAACTGGGCAGTGGGACAAAAAAAATCAATTTACAAGCATTTCCAAGAAGAGTTGGGCAGGGCCCTAGGTGCAATTTAAGGCTCAGGTCAAATCCCAACTCCTAATTCAAGCCTTTTCCAAGTTTCCCAGCACACAGTAATCTCTCCCTCTCCATTGATCAGTGGCCTAGTTAATCTGCCCAGTGGTCTCATTCTGGGACACAATGCTGGCTCTGTTAAACTCTCTGTAGTCTGGGTCACAAGATCATTGAGAGTAGGAACCATGTCCTTTAAGATTCACATATCATAGGTGTGGGTTGGGGAGTGACATCATAATTCTTCCCTTACCAACTATAAATGCCTTGAGCAAGTTACCCTAGTATTGATTTGCTCATTTATTAATTTGTGATTCATCTCCTCATTAGAATGCAGACTCTGTGGCATTAGGGCATTTTCTGCACTGTTCATCATTGTACATGAGCTGGAGCCTTTATTACCACACCTGTACAATGTGACCACTTCACACTTCACACTGGTGTCATGACAATGAGATGAGAAGAGGCTCTATCATGTTCACCTCAAGGCAGTTTAACATAGAGTCCAGCACAGCCCTGTAAATAGCTAAGTAAACACCTGCTGATGGTTCATAGGTTTGGCATTTGTTTGTTTGTTTGTTTGTTTGTTTGTTTTTTAAGACTTCAAGGACCTGGTTGAGTAACTCAGTTGGTTAGAGTATTGTCCAATATGCCAAGGTTGCGGGTTTGATCCCTGGTCAGGGCACAATAAGAATCAACCAATGAATGCATAAATAAGTGGAACAACAAATCAATGTTTCTCACTAAATAAATACATAAGTAAACAAAATTTATAAAGACTATGAGAGGTTATTTCCATTATAAAGATGGCACATACTTGAATAGGAATTTTCAAGAAATCCTGTCCATTGTTTAAATGCACCAATCCTCTTCCCCAACTTTAAGTAAACCCACATACAGAAATTTTACTTTAATCAAAAGAAACAAGGAATTTTATAGTCACAACAGAATTCACAATGGGTTTTCTTTAAATAAAAAAATCCTCCTGGCACAATTTAAGATATTTCATCAATCCCAAAAATTGTGTTTTCCAAATTTCCAGAGACACCTGGTTTTTAAAAACTAATTAATTTTTTATTGTATTTTCTTTCCATTATCATTTCATGTGTTTTATAAAGTCAGGCCTCTGACAACTACAGAGAATTCAGTCTCTTCTGGAGGACTTTCTCTTAAGACTTGGGGTTATATTTTCATTTACAGTTCCTTGAAAAAACTTAGATAAGTTATTTCAATCACTGAGAAGTGAAGCGTAGGAGTATAGCATCTTATGATTGACTGTCAGTGTATCTGCCTTCTAAATTACTGGAAGCATGTCATAAAGAAGAGAAAGGTACAGCAAAATAGTTCCCATTGCTGCAACTAATGTTTCAAAAAGAATTCAGAAATCTCTGTGTTCAATGCTTGGTTAAAAATTATTGCTCTACACCCTTGCTTGAAAGTTAGAATACACACACTTTTTTAAAAAAATTGGACTCAGAATCCAGTGTTTAGAAAATAGAGTGTACTTGTGTTTTTGAAATCAACACATGTTGTTACCTTCCGGTTCTGCATTTGCAACTTCCTGACATCTTGAGTTTATACACCACAGAGCAAAACATCTGTCGAGCCATACTGAGGACAAAGCCAAAGTTCAAAAACTGGAATCTTTTTTAGATCTTAGCTTTCCAGAGAACCTTCTGTAAAGCAGTTTTATGTAAAGGTAATAGAAGCAAGACACTAAATGGGGTGGTGACTCTATCTTTATGCCCAGGAGGTCTTCTGATACCATGACTCACCTGGTGACCTAGCTACCAACCCAGAGCTCCAGGATGGTCTTTGAGCCCTGTTGGCCACCTGCATACCCTCTTGATCTGTTTCCTACCTATCTCAGATTGATAAGATGCAAGACCATGTGGTCCTGTTCAGAGGAAACAGCACTCTCAGCAGCATTGCTGAAGACCAGGCTCAATGTCATAGTCCTCCACACATCCTTACCTCCCAACCCCTACAGCATTCATTAATAAATAATAAAGACCAGAGACTAGGCAGGAGTAACACACTAAAGACGGTGCAAAGAACCCTGACCAGGTAGCTCAGTTAGTTAGAGCACTGTCCCATCCCCAAAATGTCAAGGATGTGGGTTCAATCTCCCATCCTGCCAGGACTCATACAAGAATCAACCAATAAATACATAAATAAGTGAAACAACAAAATCAATGTCTTCCTGTCTCTCCCTTCCCCTCTATCACTTAAATCAATAAATAAAAAATTTATATAAAAATGGATTATACAGTGAGCTTGACTAAGTATTTTCTCATTTAATGCTAACAACATCCCTAGGATTTCCCAGGCCATCCTCTACTGGTCCTAAGAAACCCAGCAGCTTCTGCCGTGGTGTCTGTGACCTCTGGTTAACGTTCATTGAGCCATTGCCAAGCTGTGAGAAGCCCTGTGTAGGTGCTTTGGGACACAGTTCCCGCTGAACCCAGCCTGAATCATCCTGGTCAAAGTCCCAGGCTTGTAACAACAACCCCAGACAGACCAGTGGGGAGCAGAAGCAAGTCACGCTCACAGGGGCCTGTCCAAAGTCCTGACCCACAGAACAGTGAGAGTAATACAACACTTGGGGGTGGTTTGATATGCAATAGTAGCAACTAGAACCAAATTTAGATTGTCCTAATTGTACAAACAAGGAAACCAACGCAAAGAACAGTAAAGGGAAAGCAATGATTCAGACCTAGATGAAATTCTCGACACACCAAGAACCATTAACCTATACTACACCCATCTGCCATTTCTGTTTGTTCACTAGAGTCATTGCCAGGACACTAATCCCAATTCTACCCATTTAGAAGTGTCTCTGTTTGCCCTAGGTTAGGGCATACAGGTCAGTGGATCTCAACCTTGTGTATGCCTCAGGAGCACCTGCAGAGCTTGAAAACACAGATTGCAGAGCTCCACCCTCAAGGTTTCTGGTTTCAGTGGATCTAGGATGGGGCCTGAGAACTTGTATTTGTAATAAAGTTTCTAGGTGATGCTGATGCTGTTGGTCTGGGGATCAGAGTGTGAGAACTACTGGTACAAATTTTTCTGAAGGGATAATGGGGGTTTCAAGAGTGATATTCCTTTGGAATAAGTGATCATCATACTATCACACAGATCAGTCAAAAACACACCCACCATTCCACAATATTCTAGGGGGCTCCTAGGGCAGCTATAGCTGGGTTTGGCCTTTTTTAATATTATCACCTCCATGATTTGCAGACACTGGCAAAGGGCAGAGATATATTTTTTTTAAAAAAAACATATTTTATTGATTATGCTCTGACAGTTGTCCCATTCCCCCCCCTTTTAATTCCCCTTGCCACTGCACACCCCCTCTCACCCACATTCCCCTGCTTTAGTTCATGTCCATGAGTCATACATATAAGTTCTTTGGCTTCTACATTTCCTATACTATTCTTAACTTTCCCCTATTTTCTACCTACCATTTGTGCTACTTGTTCTCTGTACCTTCTACCCCTCTCTCTCTCTCCCACTCCCCCGCTGATAACCCTCCATGTGATCTCCATTTCTGATTCTGTTCCTGTTCTAGTTGTTTGCTTAGTTTTAGTTTTTTATTTGGGGGGGGGGTGTTGGTGGTTGGTAGTTGTGAGTTTGTTGTCATTTTACTGTTCACAGTTTTTTATCTTCTTTTCCTTAGATAAGTCCGTTTAATATTTCATATGACAAGGGCTTGGTGATGATGAACTTTTTAACTTGACCTTATCTGGGAAGCGCTTTATCTGCCTCCCATTCTAAATGATAGCTTTGCTGGATAGAGTAATCTTGGATGTAGGTCCTTGCCTTTCATGACTTCAAATACTTCTTTCCGGCCCCTTCTTGGGCAGAGATATTTCTGAGATGAGAGGGTAGATATACACACACATTCAGGGTAAGAATGCTACTGGAAAATTTTTTCCACAAGGCAGTTTCTGAAGCTCAATTTCTGAAGAAATAAATTTTTAAAAAAGAAGCACTTCTGCTAGCCAACCATGTGTTGATTCTGACCAAGAGAGGCTCAAGAGGCCCTTCCTGCCTTCCTTGTGAGGTCCATCCCCAGTGACTCATCTGGGATTCAGAGGCTGCAAGTGTGCATGAGCCACCAAACCTGACAATTTACAGCGCTCCAGTCAGCTTGCACAGAAGCTGCACATTTTCGGCTCTGTACTTCAATCAGTTGCTCTCCTCCCTTCAAGGGTGCCTGTCACCAACTTTACAAACCTAAGGGTTTGTTTTGTTTTCCCACTAAGTGAAGGACACTTGCTGCTGACTCAATTTTAGAGAAAACACTTGTCTAATAAGTGTTTAATTTTGATTAAACCATCAAAGTAGTAACAATATGAAAAAAACATCTGGCCCAAAGTTCTTTCCTAAGTTTCTTTGTTTGAAAAATAATTTCAAGACACTACCTTGTCTTGCTACTTCTAAGTATAAATGAAAACTGCTATGACTTCTTGATCACCAGTAAGTGTTGGGCCTGTTCCATACCTCCAGCACTCTGTCCTCACAATCAGCCTAGCAGGAGGGCTTACCGTTCCCAGTTTACAAATGAGAGCTAGGTTCAGAGTAGTTACAGGCCCAGTAAATGGTGGAGTTGTGCAACACGACAGATCCTACCTTCATGTTCAGGACTTGGCCAGAGCCTGACCCTGCTATTAAGATCTGTAAGTTCTTCCCTGAAACACCTCTTCAGGGAGACTGCAGTAACTCGGTACCACAGTCTCCCTGACCATGCAGCCCCCTGAGCAACCACCTGGCTGTGAGTCCCCTACTCCTTAGGTTGCCTGCCCACACTCTGCCTACTCTACCTGGTTGGTTACTGCCTCCAGGGCCTTCTCTCCTTGCTGCCTTGGGGCACAGTCTACTCATGCCACCATACAATTCCCAATTCCTAACAAAAATGTAGTAAATTCAATCTCAGCAGATACCAAAGGACTGAGTGGCTAGTGGAGCTGGTTTCTGGAACTTCAATTAGAACCAAGTCTAAAACAAGCCTTGGGTCATTTTGGAGGGTGGGAAAGGGGTTGGGGAGGGTCCCTCCATTCCTTTCTTCTCTTGTGCAGGTGCTGCCTAGGAACAAGGAGATTAAGTGATTCCAGCTGCCGGCCTTGGGTTTCCTGCTCCCCGGCCACACTCCACAGCCCGATTTGTTTACATTTCTCTGCAGGCCAGTTGCTTGGCAAGCAGCTGGTAGCAACAGCCTGATGCTTTTCAGTTTTGCTTCCAGCCCGGGGGACAACAGTATGTTAGTCTGGACTCCAGTGCCCCGGACAGCCACCACCCCAGCCTGGCCCAAGTGTCTCCTGCTGTTCCCCGCTGGCTTGCGATCCGCGGGGCGGTGGAACCCCGAGGTTAAACTTAAGAGTCCGCCATTGGAGGAGGCAGCTGGGGCAAGGCCAGCAGCTGGGCGACCCGAGCTGACGCCGGCTTGAGCGAGGAAAGTGGGATCGGGACTCCGGGTTGCAGCGGACAGGGAAGCTGGAGACTCTGGGGTCCTGAGGTGAAGGCCCACTGGCCAGCAATCTGCCCGGGACCGCTGCGCCGGCTAGGTTCTGTGAGTCGCCTATTGACGCAAGAGTGAGGGACGCCCAGGGTCCCCGCAGTGCACTCACCAGACACGTTTAGCTGGCCTCCCAAGAACCAGCCGATCTTGCCGCTGCTGAAGTCACAGTCCCAGACCGTATGGTAGGGGGTGTCCCACACTAGCGAGTCTCGAGCCAGCGGCCCCCAAAAGGCTGCGGGCTGCCCGGCCGCCTGCTCTCTCAGCGTGCGGTACGAGGCAGGGTGCGCGGTGTCTGCCGCGGTGGGCTGCGGGGCAGCCTGCTCTCTCAGCGTGCGGTAAGAGGCAGGGTGCGCAGTGTCTGCGGTGGTGGGTGTGCTACCTGGGGGCCCGGAGGCGGCTCTGCAAGGCGAGCTCACTACGCGCAGCGGCCACCCCCGCAGTCCCGCTCGCCCTTGTAGGATGTCCAGGAGGCGCCTGACACCGCAGCCCAGACTGCGCGCCGCCATCTCCCCCACGCCCCAAGGCCTCTGTTTCTGTAGCCTGACTACTACCGGGGTTGGAAGAGGCAGGGGCAGCAGCGGCTCCAGGAGGGCCCCGCCCTGTCTCCGCCCTCCCGCCACCACCCACTCCTCAGGCCCTTTCTCCTCTTGAAGCTGCCTTCCTAGGCTCCCCTGTCCTCACCTCCTCTCTCACCGCCTGAGAGAAGAGGACCTCAAAGAAGGAGGAGAAGTAGCCTGGGGAGGGACAATGGGGAGCCGTGTAGAGCGGGGTCCCGGCTCTGATGGGGCTGCGGGTGGGGTTCCCCTCATCTGTGTTATGGCCCTATGGGGCGTTGGGGCCGTTTTGGTTTCATTTTGTTTCTTCAAGTTCTTTTAGCTGCGCCACACGGCCAACAATTAGAGACACGTGCATCCAGGACGATGGCTGGCTCGTAGCTCTCCGTCTTCCATCTTCGGATCCAAGGGAAGGAGCCCTCACAGAACAGAAGCGATTGATGCAGCGAAGTGCATGGGTGGGTACGAGGACCAAAGTTCGGTATGCATTTGATGCTGAAGTGAAAATATTAATCCCTTTGTGTGCCATTGAGAGAGAATACCTCATCTGCCAGGCCAGTCTGTACCTCCTAAAACACATGCAGGTAAGCTCCCTTTGGGCTAAATGGACAGATCTGGGGCCCAAGGGCAAGGAGGCTGTGGTGACCTGTGATCCAATGCTTTTTATCACCCACTTGTCACCTCAGCCCAACGGGAGTCTTCTCCTGGGGGAAGGACGATATAGGAAAGGGGGAAAGTAGCAGACAAGCAAATGCTCCACTAAGGTACACTGGTTTGGGACTGAGTAACTTTGGGAGTTTTCACCAATTGCTCCAGCTTCTGTGGTCCAGGACCAAACCTTGTATATTCTAGCTTTGTGACATTTGGCAAGTTCCTATATTTCTCCATACCTCATTTTACTTTTACAGAAAAATGGAAGTAATATCTCCCTCCCCTGTTGTAGTAAAGAATAAATGAGATTGTGCCTGAAGCATCAAGCTCAATAAGAATCCCCAGTCTGAGGTGCATTGGAGGAGACTATTCAACACAAACAGATGAAATGTGATACAGCACAGCTATGGAAAAGCAGCACCTCTCTAGCTAGATAGCTCTGCTCCATACCGAGAGCTATCCAGAGAGACACCTTTGGTGTTTCAGCTCCAGGAAAAGGAAGTCTTGAAGTGAAAAGCAAAAGTGCACTCCCAGAGCCACAGGAAAGCTGACTTACACTGACAGAAGTCCCCTCATCAGGTCCCTGATTGGTCTATCCTCAACAAATGAGGACTCCAAATCCTCCCAATTTGGTTGGCCCAAAAGGCACTGTTATAATTGGTCAGAATGGAGCCTCTGTGATTGGTCAGTGAAGATGCTGCCAGGGATATAGCCTGCAGCTCCAATTGGATAGGGAGCTCCAATTGGAAAGGGAAAGTCTCAGTCCTATTGGTTGAAATAGGATTCCAAAAACTCTTGTATAAGGCTGGCTCAAATGGCAGGAAGACAGTACAGACAAGCAGTTCAGTGCAAGCTTCTCCCTGAAGTGCCATTTGCATAAGAGGCCCCTGCACAGAAATAACTGCTAGGTTCTGTGTTTGTTTGAACCCAGTTAGCCACCAGGAACCTTTCTTAGTAGGCATCTTTCTCAGGGTTCACACCTGGAATCAGCGCACACCGAGCTTAATAGTGGAGGCAGTGTTCATATTGTTAAGCCAGAAAGGATAGAGGAAACTCACAGAAACTTGCCTCAACCAGGTTCTTAAATATTTCAACACCCAAGAATAAATACATAATAAAGAAGGTAAACATGGGAAAAGGGGGTTTTGAAAACTGGTGTGTTAAGTTCTTTGGATTTGGGAAAGATCCCGCCCTCTTAGTGAGATCTGCACTAAGAGGGCAGGGAAAGTCCCTGCCATTCCAAAGAGCTTTTGCTGCCAGTTAGCCCCAGGCCATGTTGAATTACCTGCTTCCAGCCAGAGAAGAGAGGACTTTAAGGCTGGAGAACCAGCAATAAAACCTAGCTCTAGACCTGTGCCCAGCACCTGAACTGCACTTTTAACTGAGTTTAAAAATTATTTAGTGCTATCAACTGTTGCCCACTATTAACCCTTAGTGGAACAAATGAAGAGACTGAGACCAAATGAATCAGTAGACCTACTAAAGAGCACCTGCCTGGTGGGGTAGCAAGACCAACACCCAGCATCTTTTCCTCCTCGAATTCAATATCAAATCACCACTTGGCAGAGTCCTCATTTTAAATGAAATATACAAAATTATAAATAGAGAAATTGTGGTAGGATGTCCCAAACATGGCCGCCAATATTGCATTCCCCTTGTGTAAATGTGTGAGAGGTGCGCTCCAAGGGGAGGAGCCTGATCCCCTTTTCATTTTGGCCTGTTGGATTTTTCTAATAGGATGTGGTAACAGTGCTCCTCTGACAACCCCAGGTTTGGGCCTTGTGAAACTACAGCTGCAGCCCCTGCTGTCTTGGAACTCAGCTGCCATGCCATACAGGAGAGGGGATAGCTTTCCAGAGGAAGAGACCCTACGGAGAGAACAATGAAAAATATGTATAGAATTGACTCTTCTTTAAAATAAAGAACTACATAGTTCATTTCCTTCTGGTTGGATGAAGAAATGATTGTGTATACACAAAACATTTCAAAACCCATCAGGTGGTACAGAACTGCACTTCCTACAACCCAAGTTACAAGAAATTTCTCCTGTATGTCACAGTCTTCTGAGGCCAAGTCCATCCCTGCTATGTCCTGGAAGCATATCTCCCTAAACTAGAACAAGCTGGAGCCAACTGGCCCCTGCCCTAGCCAGCTGTGTCTTGTGGGGCCTGGGTAATTCTGAGAAAGCAGCAGGTTATCCAAACTACACAGATCACATTTTCTCTCCTGGAAGCCCCCCTCCACCTTAACATGAGAAGAGCCCTTCAGTACTGGAAGCTGTAGTTGGTAGGCACAGAAGTTAGGAAGAACTGGGGAGATTTCCTTCAGGACTGTTATATCTCAGGCCTGCTGTTTAAGTTCGAGATGGTACAGCCATGATTGCTGATACTCACAATCCTTAGAGATAGATGCTTTGATCATCAATTTATATAGGAGAACACAAGCACAGGGAGGAGAGATGTTCACTCAAGGCCACAAAGCTAGCCAGTGGTAGGGCTTCAGCTTTCTGCCTTCAGAGCATATAGTTTTAATAGCTTTAGGGATATAGCCTACCAACACCCCTTTTGCTGTTTGTCTTCATAGATTCTACAAATGGCATTACTCATAGAATTACAGTAGTTCATTGCTCCTAAGAAACAGTCTGTGTTGATAATGGATCCCCTGGGTGAATTACCTGCCACTAGTCACCAAGACCTAGTGTGGAAGGCATAGATGCTAAAATCCTCAATAAAGTACTGGAAAAACACATCCAACAGTATATCAAAAAGACCATATACCATGATGAAGTGGGATTTGTCCCAGGGATGCAAGGATGGTACAATATTCACAACTCAATAAATGTAATACATCACATAAAAGAAAAGACAAAAATTACATGATCGTATCAATAGATATGGAAAAAGCATTTGATAAGGTACAACACCCATTTATGATAAAAACACTCAGCAAAGTGGACATACAGGGGTCATGCCCCAACATAATGAAGGCCATATATGAAAAACCTACAGCCAATATCATACTCAATGGACAAAACCTAAAAGCTTTCCCACAAAAATCAGGAACAAGATAAGAATGTCTGCTTTCACCACTTCTATTCAACATAGTTTTGGAAGTTCTAGCCACAGCAATCACACAAGAAGAAGAAGAAATAAAAGGCATCCAAACTGGAAAGTAGGAAGTAAAACTGTCAATTTTTCCCAAATGACAGCAGAGTGTACATACATACAAAACCCTATAGACTCCACCAGAAAAACTACCCAACCTAATAAGTGAATTTGGCAACACAATGGGATACAAAGTCAATATTGACAATCAAAGGCATTTTTGTACACCAACAATGAAATTTCAGAAACAGAAATCAGACTTTTGGCCAAGATGGAGGCATAGGTAGAAACATTGTGCCTCCTCGCACAACCAAGTTTAAAGACAACAAAGTTTTAGTAACAAGAACACAGCTAAACCACAGAAAATTGAACTGTACAGAAGTCCAATCACAATGAACCATTCAGCTAGATGGGTAAGAGTTGTGGAGTCAGCAGCTGGTGGAGTGCCAGGGCAGGAAAGATCTGCCAGACCGACCAGGGAGCGCAGGCAGCTGTTGGCAGATCCAAGGCATGGGGTGGCAACAGGTGGACCCAGTGAGGGTGCAAGGTGGCTGGCTGACCACGGTCACACATTTGTGGGGAGATAAACCAGGCAAAGGAACAAGCAGTGAGACAGACTCAGGCTAAGGCCCCAGCAATGGGAATTAGAGCATGAAAGCACCAATTGGAAACACTTTTGGAGGTGATGTGCCAGGAGAGGCTCCCAGGCTCACAGAGAGTTTGTTGAAGAGACCCACAGGATCCTAGAGGGCACACAGGCCCAGACACCCAGGATCTGGCACAAGGGGGGCCCGGTTTGCTTGCGGGAAGCAGCAGAGGGGACCGAAATCCAAGAGAGAGCAGAACAAATGCCATTGTTCCTCTCTGATCCTGCTCCCACATACAGCATCACAACCCAGAAACTGGGTTGCCCCACCTGGTGAACACCTAAGGCTCCGCCCCCTCATACTTAACAGGCATGAACAGACCAAAATACTATGGCTCAAGAACAGCTCAAAGCCCCAGAGCCAATACTTCTAAGCAACGAAGAGATAGCCAATCTATCAGATGTATAGTTCAAAACACTGGTGATCAGGATGCTCACAGAACTGGTTGATTTTAGTCAAAAGTCAGAAACAGACGCCAGGGAGATGGCGACAGAGTAGGATGGAGCGGATTCTAGCTCCCATACTCGTAGGTGAAAATCCTGGCAGATCTATAGAGAAGCAGTGCACTAAACCATTGGTTATCCAGCATTTATGAAATTAAAAGGCCAGAGATTGTGACAGATGCTGATACACAAAACAGTGGCAGGTCAGTGGGGTCTCAGGGACCGGAGTAAAGACAAAGCAGTGGCGGGGGCTGGCACCCCCAGCCAGACAGCCCCAGTGCTGCTTCTGTGGTCAGGGTCCAGAGCCATCGGTCTGAGACAAGCACCAGAGGTGTCTGCCACAGGAGCCTGGGCACCAAGTGGCCCCATTGGCCACCAGTGTGGGCCAGCAGCTCCACCACTCCCTGTATAAGCAAAACTGGACAACACTGGGCAGAGACCTGTCTACTTGCCTGTTTGCATTATCAGGGAGGGTTACAAAGACAGAGGGCCGTGTTCAACTGCAGACTCTGTGGTTGCAAGCCTGGGAGAATTGAGAGCCACATTGTCCTCACTGGTCTGGCTGGAGACTTGGCTGGGCTGAGAGGCAGGATGTCTGGAGAGTTTTTTTTATTTTTATTTTTATTTTTATTTTTGAATGTGTACTGAGGTGTTCTCCTGCCAGGGCAACTTGGCTTGCTTCCCACCCAGCCTTGCGGTGAGCCAGGGGGAAAGCGGAGACATCTGAGTCCCCGCCACAGGACTGGGAAGCACCTTGCCAGTTCCTCAGGTCCCAGACAGCCTGGCAAGCGCGCACAGGGGCAGAGGCTTTTAGTCCCTGCCATGGGACTGGGAAGCACCTTGCCCGTTTCGCCTGGCTGGTATGCACAGGCGCAGAAGCAGTTGAGTCCCGCCACAGGACTGGGAAGGACCCCACGAGAACTCATGTGAACCAAGCAGCTTGGCCAGTGTGCAGGCACCCAAACCCCAGTCTGGTAGCCTGCCTGGTGTGCACACTTGCGCCAGCATCCCAGCCCACAGAGAGATCCTGCTGCAACCAGAAAAACCAGTCTGCACAGTTTGAAACCAACAAAGGAAGGATTTTTTTTGTTGTTCTTATTGTTTTTTACCCTTTTTTTAGTAACTTTTTTTGTGTTTGTTTATTAATCTTATATATTTTTAAAATTTATTATTGCTTTATCTTTCCATACTTTGTTCCTCTCCTTTCTTTTTCCCTGTTTTAGTCCTTCTTCCTTTCCTCTTAAACTCATTGCTTTTGCCTCCCTTCTCCTGCCTTTTTGTTTCCTCGTTGGTTTCTTGCTTTGTTTTCTTTTACCCACAAGAGACAAACAACTGGGAACTGTGAAAGACCAGAGTGGGACCCAAAGAGGGGGCATCTCAACAGTAGAGGCAGAGAGACAAATTTCACTTTCCTATAGCACAGAAGCCACGAGTTGTTGCATATTTTTTCATTATTCTCACTTCCTTTATATTTTAATAGTATCTCTGTATTCCTCCTCAATCTATATGGGCTTCTTAGTCTTGAGTGGTTATATTGTATTATTAGACAGGTTCCCCCTGTTTTTTCCTCCACAGTGCTTTGCTAATCCTCTATACTCCACGCCACTTGTTTTCCTTTAGCACACTACCTAAAGCTCTATAACCCACTACTCAGACAGATCACATAGAGTTTGTCATATGATTGCTGCTCTAATATTACTGTAAATAATAACTGATCTATACAACACTAAATACTTCACAACAAATCTCCCAGATCTTAGCCCATTGTACAGGTCCCTGAATTCTATTACTGTAGTGATTAACTCTATTTACTCACACACTACACCTATTTACTGTTCCTTACAGTCACCTTACCTCTAAATCTCACCATCTGAAACCTCACTGCTTTCTAGTTCCAACTCACAAGCCTTCCCTCCCCAACAAGAGGCTTATCTTTTGTCCCTCCTTTCATAAAAGTGGCAAGTTGGGTTGAAGAACACGATTAACACTATATATAGCCTAAAGATCGCCTATCTCCTTTCTACTGGCAGTGACTGTAAATATCATAAAATACTCTTCTGCTGTCATAAATCATTTTGCCTCCCCCTCCAACTGATTACACATACACTGTAAAAGGAGTAGGTGGAAATGGAGAACATCAAGATACCTGAAGGAGTCTGCACCACAGAAATTCACAGGTATTTATAACACAGAAGTTTACAACAAAAACCCAGGGAGTCAGAACTGATCAATTTTAGAAGCCGAGGCTAACAAGAAGAGTCTCACAAACAATGGGAAGACAAAGGAACAATCCCCAAATGAAAGAAAAAGCAGATGCTTCAGAAAGAATGTTAGATAAAATAGAGGCTAATCAACTATCAGATAGTGAATTAAAAGCACTGGTTATCACGAAGTTCAAAGAGCTCACAATAAGCTACCAGAAACTACAGGGGAGCTACAGTGATCTCACCAAAAACCATATCAACATGAAAAAGGAAATAGAAACTATCAGCAAGGGACAAGAGGAAATGAAGAATACAATTTCCAAAATGAAGAACACAGTAGAAAGTTTCAAAAGCAGAACGGATGAAGCCAAGAATCGGATCAGCAAGTTGGAGGACAAAGTAGAAAACATCTCACAGAAAGAGCAGAAAATGAAAAGAAGCTCAGAAAGAATTAAGATGGATTAAGAGAAATGCAAGACAATATAAAACATAATAATATCCAAACAATAGGAATACCAGAAGGAGAAGAAGAAAAATAAGGGATAGAAAACACACTTGAAAGAGTAATGAGAGAAAATTTGCCTAATTTGATGTGAGAAAAAGTCACACAAATCCAGGAATCACACAGAGTCCCAATCAAGAGAAAAC